CCAAGAGTTGTTCCGTGAGTAATACTTCGTAGCCAGTCTGGATAGATAGGGAAGACGCTGAGCCCAATCTGTTTTCGTATCTCAGGGCGAAAGACATCGTCGTCCAAGCCTTGAGGAGCAATGGGTGTCATGGTTAGGCTGACGAGGCCAAAGTCAACATCAGGCGAGATCTTGGGCGAGAAGGCGATGAGCACTGCTACAGGGTCAAATCTTGCTGACCACGACTATCAGAACCATGGAACTGCCAGCAAACCTGCTCCATCTACCCACACACGCCGAATGTGCTGGACTGTTTGACAACGACGTTGACCAACGGCCCGCTGATGGACACCGGTGACCCGGAAGCAATCTGTGCTCTGCTAGTTCGGAGGTCCATCATTGGTTGATCACGTTGTTGCGGAACGTTCCTTGATGAATATGGCAGATAATGGACGGATCCACGGCTCATTTGAGATGCTGAGGCATTCAAGTATTTCGTGATTGCCAATGGATGTGATGAGACCATGTTGACGGCAATTGTGCGACCTTTTGCCGCGCCGTTGTGTTCGCAAATTGCAACTGGAGAAGAAAAGGGTAGGTAGTCTTGGGGCTCGAAGGATCGACTGCATGGATTGTGGATGAGTAGCGGCAGAGATGTGCGGATGGCTTCAAACCGTCCCTCTTTTTTCTTGGGTAGAAAGACTGAGGGACTGAAGAGAAGCGAGAGGAGAAGGATCCGGATCGACCTGGTGGCGTTTGCAGCGGAGAGGCGTTTAGTTGAAACAGTAGCACCGAATCTCCACTTACGCCTTCCACGTCCAGTCGTTCACCCGTCTTGACTTCTCATTTAGATGAGGTACGTACCCAAAATCAAGGGTTTACCCCTCCCCGACCCCGACGACCAGCATACGTACCTCAGAAAGTACCTCCCTACCTACCTACTGTGTAGGTTCCTCACACAGTCCCTCTCTGAAGGCATCTTCTGTTTCCATGTCGTTGGCGTGCCTTACTGCTGACCAGTTCTCACACGTTCACTACCATCATCAATTGCAATCACAGGGCCTGCCATGACAGTCTGCCACTAGATTGGTCCCTACAGACTTGATCGAGCCCCCGACTGGCCTCCTTTCCTAAAGATTGATTTCCTCTCTCAAAGCTCCGGCGCATCTAATACTTGGCATGGCACTATCCGTAGCACCGTACCCCAACATCACAAAGTCTCCGTGAGATGCTCGATTGACGACCACTGACCACAACTCAACCCTACAGTGTTCCACAGTGAGACTGCGTCCAGTCCGTTTATTCCAGACATCCTCTTCACTGCTGGAAGTATTGATCGACCTTCTTCGCTCGATTTCAACGGTTCAACGCGGCTTATGGCCATCCTCATCTTCTGTTGATCTCCAACTCCGAGCCTGGCGCTACACTAACATAACAGCAGGGTTGTTCAGCCACACGCTGCGAGCTGTAAGGGGGTCGGAGCTTGGCCGCTGATCAGAAGGGCCAGACCAACAGCCGACCAGCTCCTTCGTTCCTCTGCCTCTCTTCGGAGTAGGTACTGTGCTGTGTAAGCTGACGGATATTATTACATTGCTAGAGGCAGAATCACGATCGTTGAATGGTACCTAGTCAATGACACGTAGCGCTAAATTTAGTATTGACTTTCCTACGCCTGAGAACTACAGATACCTCGAGCTTCTCACGTCCCGCTGGTTCACGTCAAGCTAGGACCTGCCTCGCCTTGCTGGAACGACACACGACACACACACACGACGTGGACGTGACAGTCACAGCCCAAGTCACGGGCAAGGAGAAACGACTGGATTTCAATCCGTCGTGTATCTATAAGCCGTTTCAATTTTCCGTCTGATAATCTGATACGGTTGATACACCGTGCTCCGCGATACAATGTGCCTTGTCGGTCTTCTATCATACGTTTGGTTTACCTCTCCTGCTCATGCACCTTCGACTGGATTTTTGACTGCCCAAAGGCCGGCAACTAGGTTCGGGAAGAAGCCTCCTTCAAACCCTCGCGTCAGCTCCGAGTCATTATTGCTATCAAGCTCAAACCCAATCTTGGAGTCTTGTCGCCAGCTCATAGCTCGCTCGCAGTTTCTCGGAGCTTACCCGCAGGAACTTAGCTGCTTAGGAAACACGAACGGATCACCGACTGGGCCTGGCTGGTGTCCCAAGCCTCGGCCGTGCTTCAGCTGGACCTGCAGCTAACGGCGCATAGGGACATCCCGTCAGATGCCGTTCAGGTACAACACACCGCACCTTTTACGTGCATGCGACGCGCGAGAGATGCAGACAATGAGAGGAATAAAGGTTCCTCGAGATGATGGACTTGGATCACGAGCTGTAGCTCCTTCGCGGTACACTGCAGAGAAGCCCTTTCCGTGACCCATCCCATCCTACGCCGTCTCAACTCCTGCCGCTTACTTTACTGTGAAGACGACCAACAACAACACATTGTCGTCCTACCTTAGTGCTGAGCCGCAGTCAGGCATGAGTTGTCATTGGAGATATCCACTAGGCAAGCCCCAGAGTAAAAGAAGGCAGAGGGAAATCAACCCTCAATCAAGTCTGCTTCAATAAGTGCAACGGGCCTTTCATTACCGTCTAACCGGGCTTAATTTGAGGTGGCTCTCTTATGTGTCTCCCACGGCTTGCCGAATGGGGCGGACAGCCACGGCAGTCATTTGTTTGCAATGCGACGATCAACTTATCAAGTATCCGTACCGGCTATTCGCAACTGCACTCAAGGTTCGCAATCATCTTTGCTTGGATAGTTACATGTGTCCGGCGATCGTTTGTGGTCCAGGAAAAGACGAGCTTCGAGTTGTTAGCTTGTCACTGCTTCTGGGCCACCAATGTACAGAGCATGATGGTCAAGATGGTAGTCGTTGTTATGCTTCGCCTAGCACAATACCGTCGCCTCCTGTGCTTCGGTTCTTATTCAATGGGCCTGAGCGTGTAAGTCACTAGAGACGTTGGTTGGAAGTACTCTGCCGTACCGCCTCAAGTCCATTGCTTATTATCGTCTGGCCCACCCATTTCACCTCATCAGTCTGGAAATTCGACGTTGTCAACAATACGAAATGTAATTTCGATGCGGGCACTCGAAATCGGACCCGTGGAACCAGCGACGGCGACTTTCATCAAGGACGTGCAGCAGCTCATCGGGCTTACATAGCACCGCTGGTCGGCATTATTTCTTAGCTGTACGATTCGAGAGTCACTTGTGCTGAAGCCTGGCGTACAAGTTCCTTGCCCAGCATGTCCCATGTTTTTCTTTCACTGCTGTCTGTCGACTTGGATGTTGTAAGTTCACTAGTCCCTAGTGACTTCTCCCATCCCCTAGATCGAGTACTCTAGCACTCTGAAATGGCACGAAGATACCTAGGAAGATGGCACCAGGAGGTACCGAAACCCCTGGCGGCCAGTGACCAGTCAGCAGGCTTGGGTTCCTGGCGGAACACCCCACGTCTTATTCCCATGAGACTTGAGTCCCTCGCTCCGCCGCCGGGAGATGACCCCAGCAGCAGACATGATGATATGGAGTGGACTGTGGACTCGTGGAGGGGGGTTTGAGTGATGAGGGGTTCCACTGTTTGTGCCACAGAAGGGGATGGGCCTTTGCTCATCTTCTTTTCTCATGTCCACCTCCCGTTCACGTTGGGCTGTGACGGCTGTGTGGTGTTCGTATGTGCGTATATCTGGACGGATTATGCGCACCCACATACCTTAGCTCGCGGATAGGTGTCATGTCATGTATTCCTTCTTCTGTCCCAGCGTCTGTAGGAGTTGTAGGACAATAACAGTGAAGAGTCGCAGATTGGAGGGTTCCTAGTCTGTGTGCCTGAGAGACACCAGCAAAAAAACAAAATAGCATCTATTCCTCTTCTCTCTGTCTCTGTCTCTATGTCTTTGTTTTCTTCTTTTTTCCTTTCCGTTTCTTCATGCTACAAAGTGTTGTGGCTCTGTGTAGAACGGACGCACTGCCAACCCAAATACCCTTATGCCTGCGAAAAGACGCCTCTTGGAGTTCTGTCTACCTAGCTCAGGCACGTGGGACATTGTCTGCCCTGAGATGCCTGCATCAGATGATACATACCGTATATCATACTCCATGTTACATAGGTTGATGTAGAAAGCCATGTGTGTGATCTGGCATAGAAGCTGAGACCGGGTCTCTCATTTCACCTCGATTTTATCCGAAGCGTCTTCATTAAATGGAATGATGTTATCAGTTTGGCGAGCGAAGTTAACGATGTTTTGCCGTATGGACAAAAAAAAAAGTGTTGGACTCTCGACACCCACCCCGCTGCTTGCCCTGCCTGCCCGGGAAGGGGGTAAGCTACCTAGGTAGGTACCTGTGGGTGGGTGGATTGTGGAAGGAGATGGGAACCAGGAAGTACCTCGCTCCAAGGTACCGATCACTCCCGCCCTGTTCCCAACTTCATCACCCCCTCCGTACCACAGCACCGCACCATCCATCATCACATCTGCCAACGTTTGTGTGTGAGTGTCCCATCATCCCGTTCCACCTCCCGTCCGTCCAGCCCCGTTTCTCATCCAGTTCCAGTCCCCGATTCCACCTCCACCTCAGTCTATCAGTCTCCCGTTCCATCCAGAGTTCCCCTCCCCCCGAGTTCCCCCCCAAATTCCACGACGAGCGCCACCGCCATCCACCAGTGATCATTTTCTCGCGCTTTTCCCCCCCTCTCGCTCTCTGTCTATGTGAATGTGTGTGTGTGTGTGTATGTGTGTGTGTGTCGAGGAAGGGACATTTCCTTTCCTCTCTCGAGTTCTCTCCCTCACTTGATTGTACCGTATAGGTACGTCGGTATACACACCTAACTATCACTTACCTAAGGTACTTGCTTGGTGCTTTCCTTCCCTTAGGTACGGATAAAGGTACTGGGACAATCTTCCAAGTTCCACCCCTCGCTTTTCTCGTACACGCTAGCAATCTACCTTACCTTCCACATTGCCTTTCCTCTGTACTCCGTACACGACCCGTCACTGCCTTAAGGCAAGGTCCGCGCGTTACAAGCACCTTCCTTCATTACGCGGTAGAGGCCTTCCAGCTCTCCTCCCCCGTCAAACTCTCTTGTACATTTCTAAGGGCCTGGACAACCCCCTGAACCCCTCTACCCACCCTTTGCTACCTTACTGCGTAGGTTCCCAGGTACGCCAGCTTCGGTCCTCATCATCCCGTTGCTGTTAGCCCGGTACCACGGACCAAGCCCAGGGCTTGCCATCGTCTCGCTCGTCCTCCACGTCGTCGTCGCACCTCTTCCTCCAACCGACCATTCGAGGGCCTAGTTTGTCACCACAATTCCCAATTCGACAAGCCCGCGCCCAGCTTTGCTCTCGCTTCCACTGCCACCGCGAGATCACGGCCTCTGCCACTTAACCTCATTACCTTGCTTCACCTCACCTAACCCTGATTTTCATCACCGGCGCCGTATCGCTTCTTTTTGGGTTTTTGCCTTTTCCTTTTTTTCCGCCTCCCCCAGAGGCCCCGAGCCCTCGAGTACAACCTCTCATCTTCTCGCTGGCGAACTACATCCAAAACCCTCCAGACGAAATCAAACGAGCGCTACCACCACAACGACACCGCCCACGCCCCTCGCTACTCTCACCACCTCGAAATTCACTTCCCGCACCGCCCGTCTGCTTTCGCTGCTATCGCGCTTTCTGAGCACACACCCCCTTTCGAAGCGCCATTCACTACAAGCTCTCTTGCCCGTCGTACACGCCCTTCCTGTCGAGCTTCTGGCACGAACCGCACAGCCTGCCGACCGATCCTCATCTCTCGTCGTCCATGATACAGCTCTTCACAGTTGATCCTTCGCCTATCGATCGTTTTGCTTTCGACTTGCTTTCATGACCGGCGACAAAGTCGTCTTCCTGCTCGCCAGATAATTGTCGTGACGACGTCCTACGAAAAAGGACCTTCTGCCCGTCATGACTGCTGTCGTGGAGGATTATTTGGAGAGTCCCATGGACAATGACGACGTCTTCCCTTGCAAAGGTTGCGGCGAGGTACGATGGCCCACCCCCGTTACTTCTGACTATTCTGCAAGCACGTACTGATGGCGGTACCCTACCCTACTAGATCCTAGAAGAGGGCAAAGCGTTCGAACTTGGTATGTTCCCTACAATTGCTTCTCTTCTCAACTCTCTCCTGCCCTATTCTTTGTTTCTGTAATATGCTCTGAGCAGCATCATCGTCTGGCTTCACTCTGTGGCCATGATGTCCTCCGTGGTCATGGCGCCGTCCGCAGTCTCCAAGTTCAACCAGGCTAACCAGTCTCCTCCTCCTTCAGCTGGCAACCGATGGCATCTCAACTGCTTCCGCTGCAATACTTGCGGCACCCTTCTCGATTCCGATGCGAACCTGCTACTCCTGGGCGACGGCTCGCTCATCTGCAACAACTGTACATATAGCTGCAGTGCCTGCAACAACAAGATCGAAGACCTCGCCATCCTCACCGGGGATCAGGCCTTCTGCGCAACGTGCTTTAGGTGTCGCAACTGCAAGCGGAAGATCGAGAACCTGCGATATGCTCGAACTTCGCAAGGCATTTTCTGTATGAGCTGTCATGAGTCGCTCATGGCAAGACGGAGGAAAAAATCAAAAGCAGCAGCCCAGGCCAAGTCGAAAGAAAAGGACGGCTCCCCCATGATTACCGACAAGTCACTTCCCGCCTTGCCACCCAACGCCATTCCTCCGAATGCCTTCCACGATACCAAAGTCGACCCCGATTCAGACAAGGAGACTCCGACCGAGCTGTCTCCAAGACCGCGACCGGCATACGGCAGAAATGATTCTTCGTCGAAAAATAGCACTCGGCCTTCGCGTTCTCCTGAGCGTGTCCCCGAGCCCGTCAGGGAAAGCGGCTTGGGTCTTCCTGCTGCAAACTACCGCAACAATCGCAACTCGACCATGTATGCTCCTAATAACAACGCCGATACTAACGGCGGTGACGACGGTTTCTTCATTCCGGTGGCGCTGGACAATAACCCGGCATCGAATGCCACCCCCCGATCGACATCGGAGAACGTGTCCAGCGCATCCAAGAAGGACAAGGACTACTTCAGCGTGCCCCGAGCTAGCACTGATAAAAAGGGCGAATCCCAGTCCTCAACACCCCATATTGCTTTTCAGGAGAAGGGTCGACAGCCGTCGTCTGATTATGAGTCCGGGCCCATTAAGTTGCCGCTGCGCAAGACTTCAAAGTCATCTCGGCATGACGGGCGATCATCGGTCATTAATGACGAGAAATCGCAGAAGGTTACAACCGGCAAGCTCTCGCCATCGATTGATGAGTTTAAGTTGCAAGATGCGCCCAAGAGCAAGAAGCTCATTAGCCCGAGAAGTGCTTCTCACTCGGCCGCCTTGACCCCTGAGAGCGGCAGCGCCAAGAGCAGCGAAGGTGTTCTTCGCAAAGACAAGGAGCCGTTTCCTAACCTGCCTTCGTCCGATTCACCTCCACGCATGGCCCGATCGTCTCAAGATTCGAGACAGCGTGACGAGGGCGAGGTGCGTCCTTCGATGGACTCCATCTCTTCTTCGCGAACAGACACAACTGCTGGCAAATCCATTGCTCGTAAAGAGCTTCCCTCGCGTAGCTGTAAGTCAATTTCGCACTCGTGTTTTACCATCATGCAAGGCGCACCGACCTAACCTTCTTTTTACTCTCCTACAGCCAACGGCAAACCTCTAGGTCGATCCAACACACATGATGAGACAACCTCATCAGGTCTCGCAGCCGGGCGGCCGAATATGACTGAGCACAAGCTCAGCGATACTTACATGCAGCCTCGAGCACCCCCTCAACCGCCCGGCAAGCCTGCCAACTCCCCCAATCCTCCCGCAAAGGATCAGGCGAACGTCAACGAGGAAGGAAAGGTATCACCTAAGCTGCCTAGATGGAGTGCAGGTGGCGATTTCAGTATGGACGAGGACATGGCGAGGATACTTGGTACCGACGCAGATTCGTCGTCCATCCTTCGTCGTGTGTCAAATGCTGTCCGTCACGGACGTACCAACAGTACCGAGGGTGGTCATTCTCAGACTCAACATCCTCATAGAGTCACAGGTCACACGAGGAGTATCAGTGAGACCACCCGTGGAACCGCTTCTCCTCGCTGGCCCAAGACCCCCATCGCCGAGGATCCCAACGGACATGAGATCAGCAGCCCTATTTCCCTGCACTCGAGCGACGATCCGGCTTTCCTCAAGAGGCAGTTGCGCAACTCAGAGAATCGTGTTGCCGAGTTGGAGAGACAGTTCACCACGGAGAAGGACTTGAAGCGTCTTAACAAGACGCTCATTGAAAAGCGCAAAACAGTTTCGGTGTTGGATACTCAGACTGAGATTATGATTCGTCAGCTGGAAGTTCTCGCCGGATACGTCGAACGCGCAAAGGAGACCAAGACACCTGTCGATCCCCGCGACCTGGAAGATTCTGCAATCAAGGAGTTTGTGCAGAAGCTTGACAAGGTCAAGCAGGCCATGAGCGCAGCCATCGAGCAGCTGCACGAGGAACGCGACGAGCTAGTCGACGAGAAGAACCAGGCAATGGCCGACAGGGACCGCGCCCTGCTGGAGTTTGAGCAGCTTTCTTCCAAGAACGCCCAGCTTGCGGACATGAACAACGACCTGACCCACCAGATCCAAGAACGGTTCAAGTCTCAAATTGGAGGCGAACTCAAATCTCCCAACGGCCTTGGCATTTACAGCCAGAGCAAGGTCTTCTCATCATCCAACCTGAACCTCACCGACTCAGCGAGCATGACCACGACTCTCGTTCATGAGACGGATGAGCCAGTTGTTGAAGCTCGACCGACAGTGGTTGATATCAGGAAGGGCCAGGTGAAGAAGTTCAACTGGAAGAAGGGATCCAAGGGTCTCGCAGGAAGCGTGGCCAAGGGTGTCAACCGTGCCGTCGTGGCTTTCCAGCAGGAGCGCGAACGCGGTCCTCATCAGGGCCTGACGGGAGACAGCATCGGCCTGCCGTACAATATGACTGTTTCACAAGTAGAAGCACCCAGCACCCAGGCTCCTGGACCTGCTTCGCAGCAGAAGAATGCGCAGCAAGCACAAGGTTTTGGCTTCTTCAAGAACAAGAATAACCAGAAGTCAATGTCCACGACCAACGTGTCGACGCCCACGATTGCAGAGGCGCCCACCACCTTGTTCGGCTCAGATCTAACTGAAAGAGCTGACTACGAAAGGCGCACCATCCCAAGCGTGGTAACACGTTGTATCGAAGAGGTTGAGCTTCGCGGTATGGATATTGAAGGCATCTACAGAAAGACGGGCGGCAACTCTCTGGTGAAGGTCATTCAAGAAGGATTTGACAAGAGCGAGGACTACGACATCTCAGACCCTGGCCTGGACATCACCGCGGTGACGAGCGTGTTGAAGCAATACTTCAGGAAGCTACCAATGCCGTTGTTGACGTACGAGGTGTACGACAGAGTCCTTGAGTCGAATGGTAAGTTGATATACACGCATTCCCGCCCGAATTCTAAGCTGACAGTGCCCGGTAGCCATCACAGACCAGACCGAACGCTGTGACCATCTTCGTAAGGTTTTCAGCACGATGCCACAGCGGCACCGCGACTGTCTTGAGTTCTTGATGTTTCATCTTGCGCGGGTTGCTCAACGGGAGCCTGAGAACTTGGTAAGATCTCATTTCAGTGGTGTAAGGTTGCAATTAAGCTAACTTATATGACAGATGTCTCCCAAGAACTTGGCGGTCGTATTTGCGCCCACTATCATGCGAGACACGAGCCTGGAACGCGAGATGACAGACATGCACGCCAAGAATCTGGCTGTGCAATTCGTTGTCGAGAATAGCCACACCATCTTTACCGACTGAAAGACTGGCTTGGATGGACAACAATGATGTTGGAAACTCATGTACATATCAACACACCCCACGACTTGACGCCCTCGACCCCCTTCTATTCAACGAATCTGGCCCGGCGATACTTTTCCCCACGCCTGATGGCTTTCATTACTACCTCACATTTGGATTCGAACTGTTCGAACGCCGTCATGACCGCAGCAATACGGGAGTCTTTTCCGCGCCAGGGAAATTTAATGATATCCACATTTCTTGCTTCGGGGCACGAATGGAGTTTTCTTTGGTTCTCAAAGGCAGGTTTAGGATTCAGGGCTGACGGGATGTCGTCACTGTCGTTGCGAGAGCGCGATCCCACCTCGTCCAATCATGAGGTGTCGAGGGCGGTTCAGTTCGATCTTGTGGCGAGGTTTCTGCAGTTGGTTAGAAGTAGGACGAGTCATACGTGACAGGATGATGACCGAGCACGACGCTGAAGAGCATGGTACTTGCGCTTGGAGTCATTGCGGGCGAGGTGGAAAGCCAAGTTCTAGTGACGCTGCAAATATCTCATGGATGGCCCAGCCCATCCTTTGTATCTGAACAAAGCCAATCCGAAACTTTTATAAACCGTGGTGCCCTAACAATGTGATAGTGATATATACGATGTGGTATCAAGCTCTGCATGAGGGCGTGGCAGACTATTTGTCAGGTCTGACCTGCTCCTTCCCATCCTGTTTTTTCTCTCTCTCGGGTTTTGGCCCCTCACTTTGAATCCCCAACCATGCGCCTCACCTTCTCCAGCAGCAGCGCGCTCTCCCTGCCCAGCCTGCGCTGCCCGCCGTTCTCGGACCCCTTGCGCGCCTTCGCCATGGCCCGGCGGTACCGCTCGCGGTCGGCCGTCTTGCGCTCGCGCTCCTCGCGGCGGCGCTGGATCTCGGCGCGGCGGGCCTCGGCTTCGGCCTTTTTCTTTTCGGCGTGGGCGAGCTGCTTCTCGTAGTAGCCTGGTTTGCGGGGTCTGCGCTGCTGGCGGGGTTCGTAGCGGTCGCCGCCCGCGGCGTCCTCGGTTGCCCCCGTGGCGTCGGCGTCGGCGTCGGCGTCGGCTGAATCTCCCGCCGTGTGCTTGCGTTTGACGGCGATTGTGTTTGGGTTGGGGGGTTCGCCGTCGTTTTCGAGCATTTCTGCGCGGGAGGGGTGGACTTCTTCTTTTGAGGGTTGAGGCGTGGTTGTTGCTGTTGCTGCTGGTGCTGGTGCTGGTGTTGATGATGATGAGTCTGTGGGTGTGTCTACTGCTGATGATGAGGCCGTTGCCGCTGCTGGTGCTGAGGTCGGCGCGGGAGAGCCCGTCTTGCTGGAGGGGTCCTGGAGGGAGTCGAGCTCATCTTCGCTTGAGATGTCCTTTGCCAGCGCGGCGACAGGCTGCTGCGCATTTGAGGAGGAGGGCTCCCGAGAAGCGAGTTCTCGCTCCTTAATCTTTGCGTAGGCCTTCTTGATCTTGGCCTTGTGGATGAGCTCGATTTTCTTCTTTTCGACTGGGAGGGGGGAGGTTAGTGAATGATGATCATTTGAGAGGTTCAGGGACCGTGTGAGATCATTACCCTTTCTACGCCATGGGCCCTCGGGGAGGGTGTTTGGTCCGAAGCCCTTGCGCTTCTTGACTTGGTGGTCTTTTGAGGAGGATGTACCCTCGGCGGCGCGTTTAGGAGCCATGGTTTGCGATGGTGGTGATGGTGAGTGAGAGAGAGACACTGGAGTGAAGGCGAGGATCGGTCAAGCCGTCGGAAACGAGCGAGGCGCGGTGCCCCACCCTGGATAAATGAAGTTTCTTATGAACTGGGCGCTTTTAATTTGCCTGGATGGGGCGGGTGCGATTCGTTTTGCACACGATGTATGTGTAAGATTCCTGTATGAGAGTGAGAAAGGTTGATGAAGTCGATGAAGCCGATTGAGCAAGGATGAAATTTTAGGTGGATCCTGCGATGAGAGGTTCGAGAAGGTGAGACGAAAGTGGCTTAGCGCGTTTTTGTCGCTGGCCAGTGGGAGCACGGTCCGTGTCGGACGTTGTGGACTGTGGACCCTTCCCGGCTCCTGGTTATCGGACCTCACATTCCGGTATATACTAAGGTACCTAACGACAAGCATGAACAACCCCGTCTGTGAGAAGGAAGCCTGTAACATATTCTCGAGAGCTAAATATACATGTGGATTGGCTTACCTTCAAGCTTTTAACTACGGGCAACGTTAAGAACCCCTTATGAGCCTCTCCTCTCAGAGTGTTCGATCTCTTCGAGGAACCGTCATCTGGCACCTCGTTACGAAGTTGATATTCGCATTGGGAGAATAAGACGATTTTTTATCCAAATAGTACTTCATCAAAGAGAGAAAGCAACATGTGCTCTGCAACACAAGTTATGTAAGCTTGATATTGAATGTGATGAAGAAGTTTCTCCAAATCCGGATTCTGATCATTAGTAGACGTTTCCAAGAAAACTAAAGGATGTGGCCGCAGCTCAGTTCGGGACGGCGTTGATGCACCTAGGCAAGGAACGTTTACTGCTCGATATACTAGTGACAATATACCTTATTAAAGGGGTTATAGCTATCATCTAGATACAGATGACAAAAAAGAGTTCACCACCGGTGTGGCTATATCTCCTGGTGCTCATTCCGGGACTCGAACTCGTGATACTCGTATGCGCTGAGCCTGTCGTCGAGTAGGCTGAATGGCGATTTGAATGTTGACCTTAGACCACTCCACCACCCAGCCAGTTTGACCTGACCCGTCGGCCTAGACGAGCGCCTGCTGGCTGGTGACGGGAACGGGGTTGAGGGGGTATATATGGGATACCTCGCAATCCGTCGATACGGATGCTAGCCTGCGAACTCTTCGACAGTATTTTGTCCCCATCAATACTACTAATATTAGCCACATATTCATTAACTTTGGAGTATCACCTTACAGTAGCACACATCAATATGGCTTCAAAGCAGAGTCGAATCAATCACACTCATCGAAACTCCATCTACATACCATTCGACGGTCAGAACAGATTACGAGTACTTGGAACCACTCATGTGAATATACGACGCTGATTCTTCGCCTGACGATATTGTACTTCGGGTAAGTAGCCAAAATCGAACAACCCACTGTCGTGATTCTCCCTCCTTGTCGGTCAAAGTATTTGGCCTACCACTTTTCCACAAAAAAAGAATAGGTATTTAATTGTGTAAAGAATTTTCTGATACTTCTAACCTAGCAAGCTCTGCTACTCTTTCGGAGCAAAGGTTCTATGCACTCGCGGTATGTGTAATCGCTGCACACCTTTATCAAGATAGCATACACGCCGCCCATCCATCCTAGGTAAACACAAAAACCTCGCCAAAAACAATTGCAACCCCCCATACCAGACCTCTCGCACTCCCTAATGTCTACATCAAAACCCCTTCAAAGCTTCTCAACCAACCTCACATACAAACTCTCCGCCCTCGCCAGCACCGCGCCCCCCTCATCCTCGATCCTCGCATCGATCCACCACTTCCTTCCGACAACTTTCGTCACCTCAACGACACACAGCACCGTCTGCGGCGTCCTCACGGGCTTCACATACGTAACGTTCAAATACGCCGTCATGTACGCCGCGTCGGGAATCAACCCGTTACTCTTGTTGACGGGAAACACGAGCCCAATCGTCTCGTCCAGAATCGTGGCGACGATGCCGCCGTGCGAGACGTCCGGGTACCCGTTTATCCCGCTGCGGAGCGTGAGGAGGGCTTTGAGCTGGCGGATGATGGTGGGGCCGGCGTCGTCGTCCTTTGGTACGTCTGAGGTCAAGGTACTTGAGGATGATGATGATGACGAAGACGACGGCCGCTTGTAAAAGGTCAGGTACGCGGCAATTGTATCCGCCGTGTTGAGCGTCGTCGAAAAAAGCTGGTCTTCTGTGTTTTGTTTGGGGAACCGCGAGGGCGCCGTGTCGCGGACCGTGTCTGGTTCGTTGAGGTGCGCGGCGCACCAGGGGATGGCCAGGAAGTGCTGGACGTCTGGGTTTGCCGACTTCATTGTTGCGGTCTCCTTTCTCCTCACGGGTTTTAAGCTTGATGCCTTTTTCCAAGTTGTTTGAATTATTGCAGTGTGTGATGCGTTGACAAGTGACTCAATCTTGACGGCATGTACTACTGAAATGAGCGGCTTCGGAGTCCAATGATTTTGATGGAGACCCGGTTGGTGATGAGCTGTGGATGTTCTCTGAGTTCCAGGTTGAGAGCTTCAATTGAGTTGGAAAAGAGCCGAGGTCTTTTTTTATCAGATCGGGCCCGTGCGTTGGCCCGCGGCATGTCACCACATCCACGCAAATAGTTACGGGGTAGCCTCATTGGCTTTCGGGGTGGCTGCTACCTTAAACTACAAGAAACATGGGACGAGCGATAATAGACTCGACAGTTCCCAATTGGCGGTTCTTACTTCAAAAGTTCAATCAAGGGATTTAATAGGTTTCTTCTGGAGGCTCGGCGGTGGCAGGTTCATCCCATGCCTTGATCTGCAACTAAGGTGCTTACCTGCTTACATTCACGACTCCCCACTGACACGTATGGCTTTTGGATATGGATACTTCACAATCTTATTATTAACCTCCCGTCTCTAGAGCATGTATCGAAACCCTTCGGTGACCGTCCTTTTACGGCCCCCAGATCCCACCAAGCCCTCCTCTTCTTCGGCTTCGCTACCGACGGCGCAAGCGGCGTCCGTCTTGCGGTTCAAGTGGGAGAGGTAGAACCTCAGAAACAGCGCCAAGACAGCCACGGCGAGCATCGCACCCGCGCAGGTCTGCATCCCAGGCGCATAGAAAGGAGCGTCTCGATCCGGGTATAACCTCGTCCCCACAAGCGGTCCGCATTGCCCGATAATCTGCATCAGGGCGAACCCCCCGCCCTGCCTACTCTCGGACGCTTGGTTATTGATGCTCCATGCCACGGTGAGTGTCACGACGTTGAAGAAGCCAATCGCTGCCGGATACACTGCGAGATATCGCAGCAATGGCGAGAGACCTATGGGTTTGGCTAGGGCGAGCGCGGCGTATCCGCCGGCCGATGCGAGGGCGTGCAGTACTATGGGAATGGACCGGGTTTGCGCCCGATCCGATAGATGTGCCGTGAAGAGTACGGCAAGGAAGGCCAGAAAGTACGGCGGGGCACTAAGCCCTTGCGATGCGAGGCGAGAGTGGCCCATCTCGGTGAGAATCTTGGGCAGGAATACAGGTAGAGAGGAATACGCCATGTTGGTAAGGAAGAACATGGCCGCGGTCAGCAACGCCATGGGATCGCACAAGACAGCAAACACTTCACCAAGGTTGAGATTGCTAGGACCCTTTCCCCCATGCTTCTTCTGGCGCGGCTTCTCGCGTCGAAGTCGAAGGCGAGCCACCTTTTGCTCCCGCGTTGTAAGATAACGCGCCGTTTCCGGGCTATCAGGAATGATGTGCCACGCGGCCACGGCGGCGAGGACGGATGGGAAGCCCTCGACGAGGAACAAGAGACGCCAAGGGGCTATGGGTCCAGCCTCTGCATAGTTGGTGATGAGCCAAGCCAAAGACGATGCGAATGTTGTTGCCAACGGCGCGGCTGTTCATAATTAGTCGGTGGGAACGGCCGTCTGGAGTGACGAAATACTGACCAGAGATGAATATAGCGGTACGAAATGCTAGTTCCTCTCGTTTGAAGAAGAAGGATAGGTAGAACGGTATACCTGTGAAGCCGGCCTCTCCAATGCCCAGCAACACCCGAAGGAAAATGAGCGTAGGGTACGAGACGGAGACGGACTGCAGCGAGGCTGTCAGTCCCCATGAAAGGACAATCATGGAGACGTATATATGGGCAGGGATGAGCTTCCATAACAGTGACATCCACTCGAAGAAGATGTACGAGATATAGAAGGCCGTCAATGTCCACTCATACCAACCGTCCCACGGAGGATTCGTCTGCAGATCCTCGTCCATGCCAGCTATGCGCGCATTGCCAATATCTGGAGAGGAGGGGCTGTCAGTGGGTTGCAAGGTCGCATGGCCGCGGCTCAAGGTATGCCATACTAGATCGATCCAAGAAACTGAGCATGAATAGCAGTGCTACAAAAACTACCAGCTTTCGGTCGTGCTTGCGAACAACGGACCTCTCCTCGTCAGGGGTGTAAAGCTGGAAGCTCGCGACGGTGCTGGTGCTAGCTCTTCTCCGCAGTGACGGCACTTCATCACCCCATCCGTCGTCAGTATCCTTCGCAGGTGATGCCCTGAGGCTCTTCAGCTCGTAGGCCTGACCGCCGCCAAGCTGTGCCTCATGCAAATGCAAGTCCTCGGCATCATCATCGCCGTCGTCAGGGTCGAAATCGAGATCGCTGTCGAGACTGAACTCGGCCGTGGTCTGCGCAAATGATGGTGACGCTTCGCCGGAGCTATTTGAACGGCTAGGTGTCTGAAGTCTTGAGGATTCGGCCATTACCACAGGGAGGGGAACGTCATGCGCCCCGTGAGAGTCGAGGACACACAGTCACCTGGGGGAACGTTCTGTAGGCAGGAGCGATTTAAGTCATGGAATTGGATGCTTTGCAGATATTTGGCTTGCAGGCCGTAGTCCGCGATGAATGCAGGTCTTCGTTCCGCCGCATTGAAGGTGGGTGTTGCCGACGGAGCTAGCTTAAGATTGGTGTCTTGAAAGAGCGAGCTGGGCGCGTTGCTACTGAAATACGTGGAACGGTGGAAGGATGATCGAGAGAGGTCCCACGACCAGTGACGTACCTTGGCAAGCTAACCCCTGCTCTACTCCAGCTGTTAGTGAAAGGGAAAGCTGGGGATCCTCCGAGGTGTCATTGCGGCTGGGTTTAGCGGATTGCAGGTGCAGGTGACGGGACGATGTGCGACAAGATATTTCAGCAAACAGGGATAAAAGATGAAGACCTTGATAATCTCCCTTCCTCTCTCGTCTTCCTCTCCTTGTCTGTTTTCAATAAAGTAGTCAATTATACAAGTGAACGCCTTCGCTTTGAAACCGTGTCTACTACAATGCCGCGTAGGCGTGCGGCTGATTCGCTTAAAACGGAGGATGCCGTGGCGTGTCGTGCCCAAGACAGCACACGGTACAGTGGTACAAATACAGGCTCAGGTCGTGGAGAGCTGCCTCAAAGACGCTCTCCATTGAGCGTCTAATAAATGTCATAGATCATGGCCCTTCTTCCCGAATAGTCTTCCGAGGCCGCCTCTCTATGGATCATCGCCCTTCTTTCCGAATAATCTTCTGAAGCCGCCGCCCTTGGGTGTCTTTGGCCTAAAGTCCATTGAAGGTTTGCTTTGTAGTGTTGGCGTCTCCTTTTCCGTCCAATTGCCAACCATGTTGGGATGCTGGGGAAGTGTGCCGTAGGGCAGACCCGCCTCCTTTGGTGAGAGCTGTTGCGGCGACATGGCTGTTGCGAACTGACTCGCTGGTACGCTCGACATGTACTCACGGGGTGATGCCCCTCCTCTCGATGTTGAAGGGCCTGCACTGCGGTCGCGGGGCCGGGGTGTCGCGTTTTCAACCTCCCTATCCAACTCATCCTGTTCCGCCCTTGCCGCACCCATGTCTTCAGGGAAATCGCGCACCTCGTCGCCGCATACCACAATGTACCAGCGAATATCCTCTCCTCGTTGAAGCTGATCTCTCAGCTTCTCGAACCAGCCAGCCTTCTTCCCTGACGAGCTCTTCTTCGCCTTGTAGAATTCATCGCTAGGAGCGCTTGCCATCGCCTTGGTCTCGCTCAGTCGTTCTTCGTACCGCATGATCTCCTCCGTTATTGAGTTGCTCAGATCAATGCGTACTACGTGGTCGGCAACATATGCGTAGGGACGGCTGACATAGCTTAGGTCAGTCGGGTCATATTCCTCGAGCAGCTTGACAGCACTCCAGTCATTCTGCAGGACGTCATCCTCCTCTGGCGGCACGGTCGAGGCTGGGACATCGTATTCGTTGCGCAGGGCGGCGGCTTTGGATGCTTTGAACTTGTTGCGCTTCTTCTTGTCACGTTGGGCCTCGGTTTCGTCGGGTATGGGCTCGGGAAGGAAGTCGAAGAGAGAGTAGAAGGACTCAAGGATGGCGGGAGACGAGTTTGGCGCAATGATCCATTCGGGGGCAGCATCGTCGATGTTCTGGACGACGACAAAGACGCGGATGCTTCGACGGTCCCAACGAAATCCGTGGCAGAGGTAGGTAGGCATTGTGGGTAGTCGCGATAAAGCTTGGGATGGGCGGGGAGGGGTTGTGGAAGATAGGACGAAGCTGTATGTGGCGGGGCCTAAGCAGGTAGCTCAGGGGGGGAGACGGGAACGATAACGAGCGCAGATCGGTGGAGAGCTCCGAGCTATCTTCGGGGGGCGGATGAGAGCTTCTATCTGCCAAAGTCGCGATCAAGTGTCGTCGCTTGCTCGGGTTTGTCGTCGTTCAGCGGCGTCGGGAGCGAGAGATGTGTTGTTGGCTGAGGTGAGCAGGTCGGACGAATTAGACAGCCCAAATTCGCCAGAGAGGTGGAAGAGGCGTAGCGGGTGATGGGTGTCGTACGTCCTCTCGAGAGGAGAGGCGCGCCAGGGAGTACAAGACCCGGGATGGGGTCGAGCCAAAGTTGGAGATGGGAGAAGCTGGCAGAAAGACAGATAGGGGTCAGGTATTGTGAGTTGCCGGTTCGACGGTAAGTTGAACGGTACGCAATGCATTATTCGAGTTGTAGTCGAGGAAACATAGCTTGTCGCATCGCACGCTGGGCTGCGGCGCACCTGACGCCCAACGAAATATTGCTCCTGGGGGGCAAACAAAGACTGGGGATGTCGAAAGCGGCGTAGCCTGTTGGAAGGTGAAATTGGAAAGGCGAAGTGTGAGTGGCCACAAGTCAATGGATAAAGTGCAAATCTAGGCGGGAAAAGCAAGAAAAGAAGAGCAAGATCAGGCCAGGCGAAGAGACAGCGAGGCGTGAGGCAGAGGAATGTCGAGAAGTGAGAAAGGGAAGCTGAAGGTGACTGGACTAGGGAGCTGCACTGCTGGAGGGAAGGGACGGGAAAGAAAATATGCCAATAAGAAATGGCCATCCAGGATCTGGCAGGCGCCACCACCCGGGACGTGTGGCCGGGAAAGAGAGAGCTCTTCCACCATTCGTACCTACTAAGTATGTATCTCACGTTCTGGGATCGCAGGTTGGCTGTTGTGTGTGGCTTTTCCCATGTACCTTACACAGTAGAGTGTCTGATTCTTCGAAGATCCTTCCTTGCCTCCGTTCTCTCACTGGAGGCTCAAGATTCTGGGGCTGTCTGTGCTCCGATGGAGATCATGGGGGCTTAGCCACGGCCTTGAGTGCCATGGTCCATGGAACACGGGAACAGGCCTTCTTCTGGACACTGCAGAATGCTAGTGCTGCGCTTTCGAGTGCATCAGATGTCACTATTTTCGTGACCATCCGCCTCGGTTCGAATCGATCTCAACTCGATCGATAGTAAACTAAAGTATATGCTAGCAACCCATCCTCGAGACCCGGTACCTTGCCTTGTATATTCCCCGTACGGATAGAGACAGACAATGGAAGATCTTCATAGCAATACCTACGGAAAGCTATGACATGCATGAAACTAGGACCCCCGGAGCTGTTTCCTGACCCTGAATCCCCCCTCCAGTCGCAGGCAATTGCTGGCTTTAGGTAAGCAATTAAGACCCACTCGGCATGCTACCTCACTCTGCGTTCCATTCTTGCGACTTGCGGCTTGCCTCAATTCCGAGCTGAACCTTGATTGCTTTTGTCAGTTGCAACCGAGGTTTGAGTTGAGTTATCTGCAGGTACGGCGCACTATTAGTATTATTAGTTGTGTTCTTTCCTTGGGATCCAACTCAAGTTGTTGAGACGACAACCCCGATACGGCGTTTACGAAACCGAGACTCTATAACCAGCATCAACAAAGCCATCAATCTTAACACAGACAGGATAATTGATAACCTTTGACACCAACTTTCGACCTTTGCCCAACTTGCGAGGCACGCCAGACAAGCTGCAAGAAGCACTCGCATTCGAACCCAAACCACCGGCGGCCAATCAACATCCACGACTTGATTTGAGATTCGCGATGGAGGCATACGTGTTCAGCACAACTTTACTGACGGCACCGGGTTTCAAGCCGTCTTGAAACTGGCCAGAGGGGACTAGAAAGCTTAATCCCTGCGCCCGGCAGCAGTCCAAAGGAAGACGTCCCGAAGCATTCGTATCCAAAGTTCGAACAGGCGGGGTAACAAACGCAGTCTTGCCTTGTCATGCCACTGTCCTGTCTGTCTCGCGCGCGCCGCGTTCCCGACGACAGAAAGCTGTCAAGAAGCCCGGCTGACATTTCATCCCTCCCGGCCCGAAGCTCACATGCGGCTGCGGCATCGCGCGCACAGTCTCGACCTTTCTCGGATGTTGTAACATGATCGCGGGGTAAATTGACCTTTGGCATGTAGTGGTATGTTCTATCATTAGCGGCAATGATAACTGAACAGTGGAACACCAAGGTGCCATGTCTTGATCTGCTACATGGATGCTAGTTTACTTGATCGTAGCTTTCATCCCATCATTTGGTTTGCCGATCACCAAAGAGTACCGCAACCCACGAACGCCGCTCCGAAGAGCATCAACATACTCGAAGCTACACTGGTCGCCGCACCCGATGTCGCACCAGTCGCCGCCGTGCCTGTTGCCGTGCCACTTGCCGCACCTGTCGTCGAGCCCGTTCCCGCACCCGTTCCCGTACCAGTTGCGGCACCTGTCTCCGCAGGCAACGACGAACTTGAACTCCCCGTGACAAGAGACCCGGTGTAAGGCGCAGGGCTCGTGAAGGGCGAGCACGTTCCGGTCGCACTTTGAGAACTCATCAGAGACATCAGAGACGAAGCTTCCCAAGCCCCAACGTACTCGGATTCCGTGAGTATCCGGTGGACTGCCTCGACCTTCTCCAATCCTGCAGTAATGGCCACAACGACAGAGCGCGCCTCCACAAAGCATGTGTTGACGGCGAGCTCCTCATCCATAGTCCCGGTCGTGAGCGAGGGGGTTGACGTTGATACGTGGCACCGTCCATACTGATCTGAAATCACGGGACGGCCGCCAGTGCCAAGCCGGCAGTCCCAATACTTCACGATGCCGGACGTGGCCGTATTGCTTCCGACCCAGCTGGAGCCCTCAATATGGGTGACGTTGGCCGGCCAGTAACCCTCCTTTTGGCAGGCTGCATCGGCCGTTGGGCACACAACTTGGTATGTTGCCGTCTCCCGCTCGTACGCAACGACAGATGCTTCGAGACTCCCGGTCGGATGAGTATCATAGATGAAGAAAGCTCTAGCGGACGATGTAACTCGAGGAGCCTGCACGCTGGAGGTCAATGTCGCAGTCGTTTGCGCGTCGACGAGAGCCAACATTGCCGAGACGGCGGCAAGGAGCGACGACGTCTTCATCGTAACAGAAGGATTGCTCAAGGCGTGAAGTTTGGTGATGTTTTTGGGAGCCGGGCGGAGGCACTTGTAAGTTGCAGGTGTTGTCTTTCACATAGTAACTCAAGCTCAGAGCGACGAACCGGCCCCCTTTTAAACAACTTTTCGATGAAGCTTGGCAAAAGTGTTGGTTGTGACTTCAGTGAAGTCTGCCTTAAACCAACGGGGGTCGCGAAGCGAAAGGGACTTCTGTGCGGAGGAGGGTATTCTTCCAGCCATTGGGAAGACTGTGCCTGACAGGGGCCCAATGTAGAGGTGCAGAACCAAGAGCTTAATTGAGATATGCTCATGGGTCCGATGATGAAGGAACAAACCCTAGGAGTGAGAATTGATGTTGAGGTCATCCTAGCTGATCTCACGATACCAGCTTCAAAATACGCTGGCAGGAGCATCCGTATCGACCCAACTTGCGACTTGCAATGTCGGATGTAGACAGTTATAATCACGATGACACTGGGAGAAAATGGCCATCAACAAGTGATATTCTAAGTACTTACTTAGCGGTGAGGGGATAAAGGTGTTACCGCGATATCTATGGCTACTTGTGCCGCTCAAGCTCGCCTGGGACGTTCAGGGAAATTCCAAGATGAGCCCATCTGGACCTTCGGGAAAAAGCTGGGCAGGGCAGACACCAAGCACAATGGGAACAATGGCTCTCGATCCGTGGTGACATAGCCTCTGCTGTTGCTGGTGTGCCGCAGGATTACGAGAAATGAGGACGGCTCGTCACATGGTCTTGCTCACATCAAAAAGAGGTGAGGTCACCCTTTTATTATATCTCTGGAGGCAAGTTACTCTCGGCTGGGTTGAGCCATGGGCCGAGCGCGGATGAGCAAAGGTCTTTCGTAAAGACTAAACTAGATTGATGAGACTCCCTCTCGGCGAAGACAATCATTCTCCCCCGATCCGATGCGGATGTTGGAAAATACCCTTGATTAGTGTTTCCCCTCTGGTTCTGTTGGCGAAATTGTGGTCTGCCTGGCGGTTAAGAACCCCAGCAGCTCCTCCGGTAGGCGATTGGACGGCTGCTTCGTACGGCTGAAAGAAGCTTAGTCGGGCCGCCGGGGGTTATCCTGCTAGAGGCGCAGACTCGGCCAGGGGGTGGGATGAGCTCAGGCCAATCTCTCAGGGCCATCCCAGAAGACAAGCCTTTTCCCGCTCTTGGATTATCTGGTTGTCCATCCGTCGTATTTCTCTTCCTCACAAACCGCTCAGAGTTGGGTCTCGGAGAGGATATGGATGCCTGCCGGTTCATCAGCAACGTCTGTCAACGAAAAAGAGTCGGTTAAAGACCGATCGATCTAGACATCTCCAAAGACTCGAACTTCTAAGCACTGCCTGCGGGCATCGATGGACCATTGCCACCCCAGTCCAGGTCGGCGACTACAGGGTATCGTGTGTTGATCTACTTCCCCTTTCAAAATTTCTGCATCTTGCCGCAGACGCTGAGCAGAAACCTCCATCTTTTGATTTCGGAGTTCTTCAACATCCGGAAGAAAGCCTGTGGGTGATAAGTCGATAACCCCACAACTACGGAGTACACAGTTCCACCCTTTCGCCCAGAGATAAAGATGAAGATAGCCTTTCATCTCCTCTTCCCCTCTGTCTCCATAACGAACGTGGCCACCACACACACCAGCGACCGCACACACCAACCAGCCTGGCAACGGGAGCGCCCATGCTCTCAAGAAGCGCGAGTTCCTGAGCAAACGGGCAAACGAGGCAGCCCGGCGGTCCAGCCCAGGAGAGAACAGAGATGGTGGTGCGGCGTGCGGCGTGCCACCTTTCCGTCCACGGGAAGGGCTTGCCGCTTCAGCCCTCTTGCTAAAAACAATCCCAGGCGCCGCAACGGCGCGGTTGACTATATCTGCTAGCTCGTCCCTTTCATTCAACCTTCTAATCCCGGACCCTTTGCTGGCGTTCACCTTACCTTACTTTATATGGATGCCCGTCTTGAAAAAGCAATTCGGTTTTCCCATTGACGAGGTAAACCTTAGATCTGGCGACCATCGACAATTGAGAATGTGCGGAATCATGGATACGCTCAGCGTTGCAATAGGCAATCAATTGTAACCTCACAAATTCAGCCCGCAGGCCCGCCGTTCCCACAAACCCTGTTATTGGGTAAGTCGAGTGTGGTAGCAATGTAGCATCCATGGGTGGCCCTTGTCAAACTATGTCCCACAGCTGGTAAGCACTAGCAACCCAGAGAGCACAATGTCGTGATGCTCATCACTGAGTTGGCAATCTCTCTGCTTTGTCAACTTTGACTATACTGCCTCATTGGTTCTTTCCCGCGGATCAAATTGTTCTGGGAAATCATCAATGCCAATCCATGAGGCAATGGTCCTTTTGAGGCAAGTTTTTCCCTCCTTAAGAGAGAGAGGCCGAGGGCGTGATAGATATCTTCTGCCCATCTCGTACCCGACTAAAAGAAGCGCATAAGAGCTGCCTGGGGCGATCCGCTCGCCTGCATGGTATCATTAACGCTTGTCTCTCCCGCATAAGACGTATCCGGTGCCGGGACATATTGTGGCCAGAAATCACAAACATGTGTCTTTGCTGCGCCGAGCTCTCCAAAACCAAGTCTCCCAAGGGGTGACGGCGCACAAACGCTCATGTCAAGCTTTCGTGGCTGGGCCTCGCGCGACTTTTGGTGTGCTCCTCGCGGCTAACCCATGCGAAGGAAGCGCCAACTGGGAGCTGTTTTACATGTTACTGCGTACGCTACAAGCTTTGTTTCTCAAAATCCTACGAACCACGGCAAATTGAGAGGAGAGAACTTAGCGCCCACGTAGGCAACTGGAACCCTGCAAAGCCTCAGCCCGTCAGCTCCATCACCAATGGTGGTTGGTCCCGTCTGAAGTTTCTTCTTCCTCACGTTCTTCTTCTTGTCCTTGGCCCGTCAGCCATCCACCGGTGCCCGCAGCGGTGGTGGTCTCGACCCCGTTCTTCGGGACCCCTGCAATATCTATCTTCTTACATACGCGAGAGTGCGGTCGATTCAAGGATTGGATCCGGCGACCCGTGCTGGCCCTCTACTAGTGTAGCAAGCTAGCCATGCCATGCCCTGCTCACTCTCACTCTCACCATCACTCTCATCACTCCGTGGTAACTGTTCGCCCAGACGTTGAAGAGAGTTCAACCATCAGCCCAAAGGATGGGTAACATGGGGGCCCATTGCCTGGGGTCAGATTTTACTGCAACGCTAGACTAACATGTCTTTCCACCCGTGGCCACTCCAGCTCCTTCGTTGATCTACCTCCTGCTCCTCCTCCTCCTTCTCGATCCCAGCTCATGCTTCTCCCGTCCCGCACCTTGTCCAATCCTTCCGGCTCTTTTCTGGTGCCTGTCTGTCTGTCCCTCTCTCTCTGCCTCTTATGAGTACAGTCAAGTACTTAAAAATGGCTCCCAGGGTAAGTTCCCCGCTTGGTTGCTTTCCCCTTCCTCTTGGCTCTCCTTTCTCTCGGTTTTTCCCCATCTCTTTTGGTTTCTTCATAGCTTCACCAAAGATCCTATTCGATCCACCGAAAAACTGATCATGGCTACGACGCAGCACCAGTACGATGAAGGCCCGGAGCTGGCACCTCAGCATCAGTACCCCGAGGTCTACCACCCGCCTCCCCAACAGTCGTACTCGGCCTCGCCACAGCCGGAGCCCGTGACGCCAATGAAGCAGGAGGGCTCAACATACGGTTATCCAGCGTCCGGTGTCGACCAGTCCGTCTACGGCGGCAACCAGTACCAGAACCACGCCGCCGGGGAGACTGCCCCTCAAAAGTCCAGAAAGACCGTCTGCGGCTGCACGTTCCTCGTCTTCCTCCTCTCCGTCATCATCGCCGTCTTGGCGGCCGCCGTCATCGGTCTTGCGGCCGGCACCGGCGTCGAGGCGAGCCGGGCCAACAACGCGATCCAGGAGCTGGCGGCCATGTCGGCGTCAGCGACGAGCGGCGGGACAACGGCGACGACGACGGTGACGGTGACGAGCGCCTCGGCGACGGCTACGGGTTTCAACGCCCTCACCAATGGCTGCACCGACTCGAGCGAGACGACGACCGGCCAGACGTACACGACTGACTTTTTCGGCAAGAAGACCTTCACCATGTACTGTAAGTAGTGCACTTGGGAGATCCTTTCTCACTTTTTGCGCATTGCTGACATGCCACTTAAGGCAACAAAAACGCACCCAACTCGCCGTTGATGTCGCTCTTCACGGCAAACTTTGACAACTGCATGGACGCCTGCGCGTCCTTCACAAACTACGAGCCCGGGTTCGAGGGCAACGCGTCGTGCACGGGCGTCAGCTTCATCCCGCTGTGGACGACGAGGGCGGGCGCCGTCGAGGGCAAGGCGCCGGGCAACTGCTACCTCAAGCCGGGGAACCAGACCAAGGGGAACCTGGAGACGCCGAATATCGGGACCGAGTGCCATGCCGCCATCATGAGCTGATTTTTGATTCTCCATCAAACCTAATGAGAGTCAAGTCCAGGCCTCACTTGTAATTTGGGATGGCGTGGCGCGGGGCGTGTTTTGTTTCTCATTCTATATACCACTTGTCTGGAAAAGATTATCACGTGTACTATGTGGACACAGTTTTTGGGGCGTCAAAAGGATATATAATGCATATGGGCAGGGCAAATATACTTGCCTGGAAAGTCAAATGGCATATGAGAGAATTGTTCCCTTCAGTCCGCTGTGTCGACGCAAGTTTTACACGATGCTCTACGTGCAACAGCATATCTCACGCCTGGGGTGGTCTTCAGGGTGCAACGGATCATATGATTCGATGATGGAAGTGATCCTTCAGTCTGTGATGAGGATGTTTCCCGAATTTGCGATCATTTGACGCATCGAGTTGAATGAGAGCGAGTGGGAAGTAGTGAGATTTCGGTACGTCTCAGACAGGGCTCTCAGATGCGAGTTGAGAAGGAGGCCAATGGGAAGCCAGACACCGCCACGGAAATCGAAGCAAATTTCATACTGGAGACTCGGGTCTGTGGGTTATTTGGCATGCGGCATCTGAGGTATACGAGGCAGGCAAGTGCGGGCATGGAGAGAAGGATGCCACGGCCATAAGCTGTTCAGCTCTTCTCATCACGATGAATAAGACGACAACCCCAAATACTTCAATCGGTGCATCTTATACAGCGTTCGGTTGAGTATGGAGTGTTCCCGCGGACTCTATAGTCGAACTCGTGAGCTCTTTATGTTTTCCAGCCGGTAAACTGGCCGCAATGAGAAACAATTAGTGAGTATCGGAACACTCACAACATTAGATATCAATTCCATCGTCAGCTCAGATTGCAGCTGATTGAGGGACGACCCAGAAAGACTTCTGATGATCAGCTCGAAAAAAAGGCGAGAGTATTGTTACCATCAATCGCGTTCGATTTAGTCACTTTGTTGCCGTAGCTTCGAATTGAGACGCGTCCATGGTGATGAATGGGTGCCGGTATATCATGTTGCGTGTGTCAGATGTTCTCACATCCATTAGTGAGAAGCGGAATATTTCGCATGTTCATCGTCGAGTACAACGTATCCGCGATCCCGTATTACATCGTGTCTTCGTTGGATTGAAAATGCTGCTTCGAGTTGAGCGTCAGCTTGGGGCATGGCATCACCACTATCTATGTACGCAAATCGTGCGCCGCATCGTGTGACTTTGCTATAATTCGTTGAGGTCTGTCTGCAATGTCCGAAAGACTTCATCTTCATTTTGGAGTTGGCCATTTCTTGCTGCGTGGTTACTCTTATTCTAGACGCGTCGTGGGACGCTATCCCTCGCCATTCCTTTTCGAGGAGCTGAGCCCCCCGAAACTGTCTATCTCGTGGGCAAATGAAGACAGACATTCCGCTTAGTTTGCATGTGAGAAGCGCACTCACTGGAGCTAAACATTAAGTGTTGCTGGAATGGGAGTGGCACTTGCCCGTGTTTGAACAACCCGACATGGGTCTATCAAATATTTCCCCATCGGCAGGTGATAGCGCGATTCGCACGCAGACGAGCTGAACCAGACCCCCGGTATGGCCGGTCTCAGGCTCTCAGCTCAGGTCGATATTGACGTGTAAAGGCTTCATCAGCTTCAACGGAAGCCGCCACTGAGAGGTCTAGATTCGAGGTGAGTAAGGAGAAAACGAGTCGCAGATTCGTTGCTTGTCCAATTGCGTTGACGCAAGCCTGTCACAACAATGTACATAAAATGACGGCCGGATCCCTCAAACGACTCACCCAGCGGGCGGCTTGAGCATCGATCTTCTTCTTCTCATCGCATCTACATAATTAATACCTTTATCGAAACTCCATCATGGTTGGATCACCTGCCACAAGACATCCTAACGGAGCCCGCCTCCTTGCCCTCGATGGCGGCGGCGTCCGCGGCGTCGTCTCCCTCATGATTCTACAAGAGCTCATGCGCCGCGTCCAAGTGAGAAAGAAGCTGGAAAAGGAGCCTCTCCCCGTGGATTACTTTGAGCTCGCAGCCGGAACCAGCACAGGTGGCATCATCGGCATCATGCTGTTCCGACTTCGCATGACGGCTACCGAGGCCATTAAGCAGTACGACATCATCGCCACGGACGTCTTCAAGCCCAAGATCTATGGCTGGAGCATTGGATTCCTCGGAGATACGCTCTCGTCCTGGGTTAATAATAGCAAGACCGTAGTGCAGAGTAGTCGTTTCGACGACGCGTCTTTGATTGCCGCCATCAACAGAGTTGTAGATGAACATGGTTTGGACAAGGACGATAAGCGGTTGAAAGGGGAGGCTCTGCTTCAACATCCAGCAGCCGGCAAGTTGTAAGTCCACAAAAACTCTCATAACCCCTCAGACTACGTCAAGATTCTAACGTTTGGAACCAAGGCTTGTATGCACAACGGCCCAAAACAGAGGCGAAACGGTTTTGATGAAGACGTACAAGAACACCAATGTGTACACCAGCTCGACCGTAAATAACCTCATGAAGAGCCACGGAAACGAGATCACAATGAGTCTCGCGACGAGGGCAACCTCTGCCGCCCCGACGTACTTCCCCGAAGTCAAGTGGCCCGCGGGCGCAGAGAAGCCTCTCACGTTCTGGGACGGAGGACTCCTGAACAACAACCCCATCGATCAACTGTGGAACTCGCGGTACGATCTCGTCCAGCCAGGCGAAGCACAAGAAGGGGTCGAAGAGCCCAAGATCTCGTGCGTGATCAGTCTCGGCACGGGCTACAACAAGACCGAGTCTCCGAACGACTCTTGGTTCCGTCTCACGGGGGTCGCGTCGACGGTGATGGCTTTCGCTACCAATACGGAAGCCAAGGGCAAGGACTTTTCGAGGCACATGGCGGCGCTCAACGGCAGGCAAAAGGGTCCCAAGACGGCGTATATCAGGTTCAACCCGACGCTCGGGGAAAACAAGATTGGTCTGGCGGACTATACGCAGATGACGCTGCTGAAGGACCTTGCCACGAAGTACATCAACCAGGCCTCTGGGAATGAATATTTTGAGAAAGCGGTTGACGCAATTTGCTGTTAGAGTTAGCCTGTAATTATATGAATGAACGTTAAGCAAGATTGAAACCAATGAATGCGAATAAATCGCATTTTCCAAAGCCTACATAAGATCATTTTCCTCGGTATTAGTATTTATTAGCTAGATTCATTTGAGTCACTGCTGCAATGTTGAAGGCCAAAACAACTTAGAGATACCTCAGCCTGGCCTGGTTGATTCATTCTTAAGATCGCCGGTCTCGCTTGTGCCTCGATCAAGTCCAAGGGGACCCCATGGGACAGTTGTGATCATGCCAAAACTTGATTTTCAATCTTAGAAATCCTTCCGGCCGAGTTATCCACTTCAAACCGCTACAGACCGATGGAAGCCATCTTCGGTCGGCTGAAGGGCCATCGCGCCGTACGCTTGGACCCAAACAGTCCTCCGACTTCGCAGCCGCAATTGACAAAGGGTCCTAACAAGCGCCTTTGTTCGAGGCTCCGAGGCTCTCCTCGTACGGCAGTGGAGTCCGGAGTGGGTGAGGAACCCGGGTCTAGCGCACGCCGAGAACTTGGACCGACGGAATGGGTGGGTGGTCGTTTCGCATCTCGAGTTCTCGACTCATCCCCAGGCCGGGGGAGCGGTCAGCGATCGTCGGGGGTGCGGCTGACGGGCGGGCGGGCCTTCTTGCAAGTTGCAATCAAGCATTTTTTATGTCCACATGGACATGGGAGAGCCGCGGAGAAACAGTCGCGGGAAGCCTGGGAACAAAACGCGGAATCGGCTTCGGCTTGAAACCGCACCTCGTTCTCATACCAAGCCTGATGGTGTCGGTCTTGATTGCCAAAAGTACCTGATAGTGGAAAGTCGCTTTTTCCTCCTTTGACCGGCTAATTACTGCTGGCTGGGTAGATCCCATCTCTGTCCAGAGATCTCACAGGATGAACCTCTGTCATGGTCATATACTTCAACTCTGCTTCGACCTTGACTCACGAGCTGCTCGTCTACCGGCCGACGTAACGACGTTGAAAGAAATCGCTGTGCATGGGTGTAAGACGGGAATGCGAGTCCCTACGCCCTTGGTGTCCTTCAAGAGCCAAGCCGGCGCAGTTGCTCGTGGCTTGAAGTGTGGTTTTCTGGGTGGATGGCTGCAGAAGGCGGGTCAATTATTAATACAGGTTACACAGGACCATGTTGAGAAGGACAACATTGGCTGAACAGCCTGGGTAGAAGCACCCCCGTAGGGTTGGCTATAGTGTTTAGCTTAAGCGTTTTTTGGTGTGAACGGCCTCACCGTCAGACGGACATGTTCAACACCCCCATTGACTAGTAGCGGAACATACCATGAGATGGGTAGGCTGCGGAGTAACCTACTGCAGGCAAAGTTGCCAAATAGAAGAGCGAACCAATGCTGTGATCTTCAGCTTATCGGCTGAGGGCGACGAGTCCATTGCATCCTTTGCAACCACCTTAGCCTTCTGAAATGTAGAAACAGCATGATGGTTCTAGAAAGCACCCTGCAAATTGCCTTACCATGCTGTGTCCGTATGCGTCCTAGTACCAAAGTTCCCAAGGGTCTGTCTGTTCTGTTCGTACATACGATATCATCACCCTCCTCTTGTGTCGATTGGCGACGATGAATAGGCCTATGCGGCTTGAGTCCAAAGCGATATTATCCTTGGGAGCATCTAATCTTAAGGATCTTTTTATCTTGACTTAAATCCCACAATGACATGAGAAGCCGCCGGCCAACTGACGGCGCCCTATCTCAGCTACTACTGCTTACACTCCGCATTCCCTCCGCCAGAACGCGAACCAGCCTTTCCCATACGCAGACGCACAAGGAAGACGCCGGCGCAAGCGCAGACTCGTACGCAGTAGAGATGTGGGGGGTGATCCCTCCCCCCCCCGTCCGAAGGGTGTGCATAGTAAACTTGTCAAAAGACATGCGACTTGCGCCCTTCTGATGACACGACCCATTGTAATCCCGGTCTGGCGAGCCAACCATTGGTGACTCCGACTTGGACGCTTCCTCGAACGCCAGAATCCATCTGGCTTGATCCGATCTACTGAGCGAGGAGGATAGTCCTTTTGAATAAAAGATTTCGTCGCCTGGAACTCGTCTGTCCCGACTTGTACCCTTTTCTTTCTTATACCCTTTTCTCAATTTGCCTCCGTGGGACTTTTGGATTTGTCACAAACTCCAAAGAGCCCGGGCCTAATTGCCATCTCGACCGTTCTCGGTTTGTCAAGTTGTCGT